CCAAACTGGTTGTACCATTTTCAATTTTCACTAGCAATGTATGGAAGTTACAGTTGCATTCTACACTGTGGCAAATGTTTGGCATTATTGATAGTCTTTTTAAATCACAGCAATTTTATTGGGTATGTAGTTATAGCACATTAGGGTTTTGTCTTTCTCTAATGACTAGTGTTGTTGCTCATTTTTCCATTTTCTTATTTCCTATCCATATATGCTATTTGATAAAACGTCTAAAATTTTGTTTGCCCAATTTAAAAAACAGTGTGGATGAGTTTTAAGTCCTTTATTATGCTTTATATAGTCAACACACACATATTTTAACAGCTTTATTGAGATATAGTTCACAACTGTAGTTACCCATTTAAAACGTTAATTACATGAATTGGTGTATACACAGAGTTGTGCAAATATCACCACGATCTAGAACATTTTATTGTCCAAAGAAATATATAATTAGCAGTTTCTCTCCATTCTTTTTTCTGTCCCCAGTCCTAGACATTTACCTCGGTATTATTTTGGACATTTCATATTAGTGGATTCATAGAATATGGACCCTTTTGTGACTGATTTCTTTCACTTAGTGTAAGTGGCATGTATCAGAATTTCATTCCTTTTAAAGGCTATTATTCTATTGAATGTATATGGCACATTTCGTGTATTCATCAATTGATGGACATTTAGGTAATTATCATTTTTAGCTATTATAATTAATGCTGCTATGAACATTCATGAATGGGTTTTTATGTGGTCAGTTTTAAATTTCTCTGAGATGTCCATGTACTTTTTGCAAATATTTTCCCCCAGTCTGATTTATTTTCTTAATATCTTTTGAAGGGCAAGTATTAAATTTTGATAAAGCTCCATCTATCAATTTTTTTCTTCTGTAATTCACACTTTTTGTTTTATCTAGGATATCTTTGTTTAACCAAAGTCACAAAGAATTTTTTTTTGGCAGTATTGGGTGTTGAACTCAGGGCTTCATTCTTACATGCAGTGACTCTACCACTAGACCCACACCCCCAGCCCTTTTTTGCTCTGGTTATTTTGGAGACAGGGCCTTGCTTTTTGACCAGGGCCAACCTAGACCTTGATCCTCCTATTTTAGTCCTACTTGAAGAAGCTGGGATGACAAGTGTACCATCACTACACCCAGCTTTTCCAGTTGAGATGGGGTCTTACAGACTTGTTTTTTGCCTCGTCTGGTCTGGAATTGAGATCCCCCTGACCTCAACATCTCGTCTAGCTTGTGATGACAGCTGGGCTATTCAGCCCAGCTATTGGTTGAGATGGGGTCTTGTGAACTATTTGCTACTGCTGGCCTTGAACTACAATCCTCCTCATCTCAACTTCCCAAGTAGCTAGGATTATAGGCATGAGCCAGTGGTGCCTGCCTTCACAAAGAATTTTTGTTTTTGTTTAGAAGTTTTAAAAATTTAGCTCTTATATTTAAGTTACAATCTATTTATTTATTTGGTGGCACTGGGGTTTAAACTCAGGGCCTCATGCTTCCTAGCCAGGCGCTCTACCACTTGCACCACTCTGCCAGCCTCCATGATCCATTTTGAATCAATTCCTGTATATGGTGTGAGGTAAGGATCAAGCTAATTTTCCTGCATTATCTAGTATTATCATCATTTTCATTAATCACCTCGTCTTTGCATTGTCTTGGCACCTTTGGCAAAAATCAACAATGTATATGCTAACTCTTAATTCTATTTTCTTGATCTACATATATTCTTATGTTTAATACAACTGTCTTGATGACTATAGCTTTATAAAAATAACTCTAAAAACCAGGTAGTGTAAGTACTCCCAACTATTTTTTTCAAAATTGTCTTGCTTATTGGAAGTCCTTTGCATATAAATGTAGAATCAGTCTACCAATTTTTAGAACTATATGACTGAGATTCTGCATGTAGTTGTATATAGTATATAGTAGATTAAATTAGGGGTAGAATTGATACCTTAATGATATTTAATCTTCTTATCCAAGAACATGGAATATCTCTCCATTTTCTTTGCATCTTTAATTTCTTTCAGCAAAGGTTTGTAGTTTTAGAGCACAGGTTTTGTTTATATTTTGTTAAATTATTCCTAAATATTTCATACTTTTTGATGATACCGTTTTTAAGTGTAAACTTCCATTTTATTGCTTCTGTTTAATAAAATGATTGACTTTTGCATGACATGTAAACTTTCACTCATCTTTTCTAGTGGTTCTTTCCCCCTCCAAATTCCTTGTTTTCTGCCAATGTTGTCTTCAAATAAACATGTCTGCAGATGGAGACAGTTTTAGTTCTTTTCTCCCAATCTCTGTGCATTTCATTTATTTTGGTCATTTCACAGGGTGAGAGCCCCAATACAATTACTGCTGAGTAAAAGTGTGAGAGCAGTCATTCTTTACTTGTTCTTCATTTTAGGAGGAATGTAAATTTCAGGCCAGTATTATGTCAGCTGTAGGAATTTTGTAGATGCCCTTTATTAGGTTGAAGTGATTATCTAGATTGCTAATAATTTTTATGATTTGGAGTTGAATTTTTTTCTGATGCTTTTTCTACACCCATTGAGATAATCAAGCACTTTTCCTATTTCATTCTGTAAATGTGGTAAATTACATTAATTGATTTCTGAATGCTGGATGAATCTTACAATCCTGGGATAAATCCTATTTGACCACATTGTATTTCCCTTTTAATAAATCATTCCTAATACTCTGTTAACAAAGAGTTTTGCATCTGTGTTCATGAGGGATATTAGCGTGTAGTTTTTTCTTGAAATGTCATTGTTGGTTTTGGTGTCACATGGAGGTGGGAAACATGTTTCCTCTTCTGTGTAGAATTGGTACAACGTATCTTATTTTTTTGGTGAAAGTGAGGTTTGAATTCAGGGCTTTGTGCTTCCTCAGCAAGTGCTCTATTATTTGAGCCATGTCCTCAACTGGTTCATATATTTCATAGATGTTTGATTGTAGAGCCATCTGGGCTGAAAATTTCACGGGAAGAATTATACCTAGGAATATAATTTCTTTGATATTGGATTATTCACATTATTTATTGCCTCATAAATGAGTTTTGGTTATTTTGGGTCTTTTAAGAAGTGTTTCATTTTTATGTCAAATTTTATTGGCATAAAGTTATTTCCTGATTCTTTTACTCTGTAGGATCTATAAGGACTGTCGCCTTTCTTGATATTGGTAATTTGTGTCTCCTAGATTTTTTTCTTAGTCTACTTGCAGGTTTATTAATCAGAATTAGATTCTGATTTGATTACTCTATTTTTTGTTTTCTATGCCATTCATTGTTTTCCTTATTCAGTCCCTCTGATTTGGTTTGGGCTTAATTTTGTTCTTTTTTCTAGTTTGTTAAGGTAGAAGCTTAGATGATCAAGTCGTTTACTTTTCTATTTAATATGTGGCATTTTCAGTTAGTTAAAATTCTGTAATTTTTTTTCCACTCACAGATTACCAAATTTGTTGTTCACTTATTACTTTGGGGGATTTTTCCAAATACATATATATTACATATATATATATATTCTGTATATATATATATATATGTATATATATATATTCTACATATATATATAGTGTTTATATATATACTTGTCTGCAAATGGAGACATCTTAGTTCTTTTCTCCCAATCTCTGTGCCTTTCATTTGTTTTTGTCACTTCACAGGGTGAGATCTCCAATTGCTGAATAAAGGTGTGAGAGCAATCATTCTTGTCTCGTTCATCATTTTAGGAGGAATGCATGTAATTTTCATGCCGGTATGATGTCAGCTGTAGGAAAATATATATATTTGTTACTGACTTCTAGTTTAATTCTTTTGTAGTCAGAGGAAGCACTTTCAATTCTTATACATTTTAGCATTCCTTTATAGCCCATAATATGGTTTTTCTTTTTCTTCATGAATGTCCCATGTGCTGTTAGAAAAAAAGCTAAAAGTGTATTTTGGCTGTTGTTGAATGGAATGTATTTTGTTCACTAGTTCAGAGAAGTATTTGTGGTTTTGTTTTTTGTTTTGTCAGAGACAAAATTAATATGTCCTATTATATTCTTGCATTCATCTTAAGAGGCGAAATCTAAGATTACATTTCCAATGCAACTTGATCATTGCACTTCAACAGTATTCTTTTCAAAGCTGTTTTTAAATTTGCACCCAGACTTTGAAAAATCATATGCCCCTCTATCATGCTGTGAAATGTATATTGGTCCTTTGGATATTTTCTGTTCATATTCTTTAAGGATGGCCTAAGTTTAAATATAGATAGTATGAGTGCATTTTCACATGAAATGTGATATAGGCTAGTTAAGAGTATGGATCTGGGAGGCAGACGGGCCTGTGTTTAGATCCTCATTCTGCTTATTATGTATGTGTTCATGGCACACAGCTTTTATTTGTATTTTTTAGGGCTTCTGTGAAACAAAAGAATTCTGGTAACGGTAGCAAGACACCTGTGCATAACACTTATAAATAGCACGGCACTTGCATTTTTGTTGTCATGTGTTTTGAAGGGATGGGGGAAGGATCCATGTTTTCCTTTGTAAAACTTCCCATAATGCCTAAATTTCTTTATTAACCATTTAGACATATCGTACTGGCCTCTTTGCGCTGCAGTGATTACAGTGTGATTTCAGAAGGGTGATTATTTCTTAATACTATAGTCAATTTGTTTTATCGGATTGCTGGTCTTAGTGACAAAGGAATGAGTGCCTAGGAATGAGGGGCCCTAGAATAGGAAGTGTACCCTCAAATCCCTTAAATAAAGACTGCCTAGTAGGATTTAACCTGCCTCTCCTATTGAAGTATTCTATCCACAAGCTTTGAATGCCTGTGCCATGTATCATAAAGTAAGTACCAGGAAGACACTTAGAAATAAACTCTTGACAAATCATAACAGTAAGGCCACAGAAGAGGAAGGAATAATTTATCATGTCTATTATTCCTAGTATTTAACAGAACTGAATAAGAAAATCATCACACATTACTAGAATCATTTAAAGTACATATTCTGGGATTAGAAGCAATACAAATAGTGAAAGTATGGCTAAGATGTGTAAACATGCAAATTATATTTTCTTTCAACAAATATTTGTTGTACCAACTAGTGCTAGACACTCTGTTGGGCAGTGGGCATGTGCAGATGACTGACAGACATGCCCTTAGTCTTAGGGGAAAGGAATATAAATAATAGTACAAAAGCTGTGATGAGAAAGGTACAAAGAGCTGTGGAGTACTGAAGAAAGGCATCTAAACACAGACATTTCTGAGTAACCTAAGGATAAGAAGTCATGGAACTGGAGGATGACTTCAGCTGTCAATTTTGAACTCTTCAGAAATATATAACCATAAAAAAATTTACAATTTAGTGGTGACTGTCTAAAACATTTAGTGTTACCCAAACTTAGCTCAAGATGAATAAAGTGCAGGATAACAGTGCAACATCCCATTTCACAGAGAATTTTCAAAAGAAAATCTTGATAATGATTAAAAGAAAGACAGCAGGTCAGGCTTGTTGATGCATTTTATTGTGAGATGGGGAAGTCTGGTAAAAAACTAGAAAATGACCATGGTGTAACAAGGAACTTAAAAATGAAGAGTCAGATTGGTAACTTACATACATGAATACAGGAACAAATTGGCACAAAATGTTAAACATTGTTCCCAACACTGCTTATATAAGATAATCCTAATTTGGCTTGCTAAGGAAATGAGAGTTTTGTGGTTAGGCTAAATCTCTTAATAAAACTGCAGAGCATCATGCTATTAGTCACACAGTGAATTTCAAAATTTAAGTTTTATATTAAAAACTGGGTAAAGGTAAAATGACTTGATTGTAGTTGTAAAACTAATACATTCCCATTTAAATTCTGTTCTACAGTCCAAGGCAAGTATAAATGTTAACATAACACTGTTAAATCAAATCTCAATGCAAGAGAACCAATTGCATCTCTACTTTAAATCTTATCAACTTTCCAAATTTTCATACTAAAATATATTATTGTATTAATACAAACTACAGTATTATACACTACACTGTGTAATAAATAAAGAAATATAAAAATAAGACACATAAATATAAAAGTTTTCTAAAACTAAAAGTACATATGTCAGTAAGAAGGGTATTAATACTGCCAGGTTTGAAGACATACAGTACAAAAATGTTGCACAGATCTATAAACTAAAAGAAATAAAATAATACTGATAGGTAAAAATCAGCTAATGTTGTTAATAAATTGGGTCCATAATAACTAACATTTGGAAACAGTAATGAGCCAAATAACAAAATGGCATGTCCATGTCTGAAATGCAAGTACATGGATAAAGCAGATTAGAAAATTTCCCTTTTGTTTCTGTAGAGAAATTCTGAAAGTCAATTAACACAAAATGAATACTGAGGAATTAAAGGATGAAATGTCCCAGTGTTTCAGTTTCTCTGACAGAGTCAGTGGTTTTAAGTTTTATTTGGGTATTTTGATACAATGAACAAATCAACAAATGCTAGTTATTGTAGGCCACACACTGAATGAAGGCGGATCAGAGCCTTGAAAATACTGAGAAATGGCACTTACAGCATTCAGGTCTTGCTTAAGGCCAAAGGAGATACAAGTTTCACACCATATCCTTCATATTTGCTACCACATACTCAAACACAATCACGAACACTGATTCTGATGACTTTGCTTGTCCTTGCCAGTAGCAACACTGTTAGTCCCTGCAATCAGAACTCAATGACAATCTTTTAAACTCCATTTTAAATTACATGAGTAAAAACTTCAGTTCTTCTATCGGCTGCTTCCTTAAGGCTAACAATACACTTTAAATGATAATATGTTCTAATAGGACATCTAAATATTAGAAATTACTACCTTCTAGATTGAATTTATAAAAGGTAGCTAGCATGGTTTGGAACTGCATTATACTTCTCTGTGAAGGGAATTTTGTAGTGCAGAATTTCTCACATTTTAAAAACATAATAAAATACTGAAGCAGATTTAGCATATGTTTACCAATAAAAAATTATAAAATCCCTCCCAATTGTACAGCTTAAGAATGAACCAACATAAAAGTGATAATACTGATAAAATGAAAGAGTGTCAGATGCTTATTTAATTATCATTTTCCTTTAACCTGTTCATCTTTCCTTTCTGAGTCATTAAGGTTTTCTAATCTGCTTCATGTTATAAACTTGTTCCTAACCTTGAAAATTGCATGAAAAATTACTAGCTCTGAGGTTCAGGCACACCTGGATTTTTATTTGTGAGTGTTTTTTTTTTTTATATTTTGTATTTTTTTAGTTCTGACTTTACACAGTAGTGACAGGAATCACAGTATAGGGTACTGTGTTTCCATGAAAAGCATGGATAATATAGAACAAACTTCATGACCAATTAGAATTTATTTTCCTTCTAGAAAATGATTAGGCTTCATTTGTTTTTTCTTCAGCAACTTGCTCAACGTTCTCGCTTACTTTTTGTTCTAAGCTGCTTGCTTGACTTACAGCTCCATCATCCTTCATTGGATCTGCAGTTTTTGCTTCTTCTCCCTCATTCTCTGCCTCTTCTACCTCTTCTTCTTCCACCTCTTCTTCCTCCTCCTCTTCCTCATCCCCTTGTGGTTTTTCACATTCCTTTTCTTCCTGCAATTCTTCCATTTCTTTATCCTCCTCTTCTTCTTCCTCTTTTTCACTGTCTTCATCCTCTTCCCTTGTCAAACTCTCTCTCTCATCTGAGTCGACCTGTGAGGGAGATGCCCTGGCATCAACATGCTCATTTGTCAGGGCTTCTGGTCCTGCCTCTTCCTGCTCTGTGCTATCTCGTTCTTCTGCTTCTCTCTTGCAGTAGGAGTAGCGGTGATTCATGTGTTGAGAATAAGATCCAGAGTGTGAGAAGCGCTTTCCACACTTGTCACATTGATAGGGCTTTTCTCCAGAATGTAACCGCATGTGTTCTATCAAATGATGTTTATGTTTAAATGCCTTTTTACAGATTCCACACTCATGAGGTCTTTTACCTGTGAGATAAGAACACAACCATGAAATGTGGTATTAAGTGAATATAGTCCTCTTAAGCATTAAGGGGCAGTTTCAGTAGGATTATAGTTTCATGTTTAAAAAACTTCCAGGTACCAAATTCTCTGTACTGTAATACAGCAATATGGTTTGTTGTTTGTATAGGAAAATTCAGTCTTATATATTCTGCTTTGTAGATGAGAAAGTCAATGGGAATTATATAAGATTGAAATGTCAAAACATACAAGCATCATGACAATGTAGAATTAAAAAAATGAAGTTTGATGAGATATTTGGCAGTGAATATAGTGAGAACAAGGAGGGACAGAGGTGTTTTTCAACTTTTTTCCTTTTATTATTATTGCCTTTCTAGAAAATTTCTATTTTAGATCATTCTTTCTGAGTTCCCATGGAAATTACAATGCCTCGTATGGGCTTTTTATTTATGACCAAATCACATATATACCGTTTATGTACTGAGGGTTTTAAGCAACTGCAGTAGCTAAGAGTTTTTTGCCCCCGGAAGGCAATCCTGCCCTACCAAGCATGTGTGGGTTTGAGAAATGCTGCGCCTAAGGCATGAAAGTGACAACACCTGGGTCATAGCCAGAAGAGGTCACGTCCAATTTCAGTGCTACCACACAGTTAACAGTAAAAAGTGAAGAAGTCATTTTTTTGTGTGTGTGGGGGGGATAGGGTATTTTCAAATGTATTTTTTAATACTTAACTCTTGCCCAAAGAAGAAGCAAATTTAATTTTTTTCTCAGGTCTCAGTGAAAACAACTAGAGGAATGTGTTATGGGGTTTTGTTTACAGAGGTACAACATTTTCTTTTTAACTAACTGCCTGAGAGTCACTGCATGTATCTTTGAATCTACAGGCTGAAGAAGGAAAGACAGTTCACTATATCTCTGCTCACAAAAATGAATGTATTAACACAGTTGATAAAAATATGAGATAAATATGGATACTGTAGCCAAAATGGCTGGTAAGTGTCAGGGAACAGTGGGTAGGGGATTAAAGAGCTCATGATAAAATCTGTACCCATGTTACAGAAATGATGGGTAGCAGCCAGTTTTTATTGGCTAGAAGTCTGCTGCTAAATTGTCAGGAATTCTAAGTTAACTGAAAAACAATTGAAGGTTAAAATCAGGGTTGGGAGTATTTAGGTCACAGAAATCTGCAAACACTACATATATATTAAGGCTCTCTCTACTCTTCAGAGAAACAGTTATTAAAATTTACTCACACTCCACTGGATAGAAGGAATCAGACAGGCCAGGAGTTGGCAAATGTTTTCAGTAAAAGCCAGGTAGTAAGTACTTTAGGCTTTGCTGGTCAAGTGGCCCTGTTGCAGCCCCTCAAGTTTATACTTTTAGAAGAGCAGGACAGTGACCACAGACCACATGCCAATCAGCAGCTGCAGCTATGATCCAACAAAAACTTTACATTTAGAGATGCTGAAATTTGATTTTTAAATATTTTTCACATCATAAGTAATGCTCTTTTCATCTTTTTCAGTCATGAAAAAATGTTAAAAAAAACCCAAACAACCCTCATTCTTAGCTCACAGGCCATACAAAAACAGGGGGAGGCCTATGAGCCACACTTGGTTAATTCCTGAGCTAGCCTAAAGAGTGTATATTTTGTTGGAGAATTATAGAATCACAGAGCTTGAAGGGGTCTTAGAATATCTAGTCTAACCTCTTAGCAGAAATTCTTTTTAAAAATACAAAAGATCTTTCTGAAATCTTCAAATGTCATGGAACTAAGATTTGCCAGTGCAGGAGACTGCATGCTTGTAAAGCAGATCTCCCTTCTGTGAACCAGATCCTGTCTTTCTATAACTCTATGCCCCTGGTCAATTTTTACTAATGGGTACTACATTTTATTAACATGGTATAAACCTGCATTAAATGAATGTGTAGAGAATAAATGCTGTGTCAGTTTAAAGGTATTAAGTCATTAGAAAAATAAAGCAAAAGAAAAACAAAGGAACATAGCTTAAATACTAGGTCCAAGTGGGAAGACAGATAGATGAAAATGGCAAGAAAGGAGTGGAAAACAAAATCAGTAAATTAAGAACTTTAGTTTTTAATTTAGTATTTTCCAATATATCATAGGTACTTTTAGAAAGGATTTGTGTTCACTGACATACCTGTGTGTTCATATTTGTGTCTCAATAATGAACTGCTCTTCTGAAATATTTTATCACACAAATCACAAGCATACATTCCATTTTCTGTTTTCCGCATCTTCTTTTTGGGTGGTGTAGAATCAGAGTCATTCTGATCCTCTACATTTGATACTCCTTCTGAGCTAGTGTCTTGCCTTTCATCCTAAGGGAAAAAAGAAGAAAGATGATTTAACTCCAAATTAAGAAACAAACAGAAGATACAAACAAAGCATGGGTTAAAGAACTACTTTGATTTATACTTTCAGCAACCTGATCACAGCCAGATGCTGCTTCTTACTCCAGACGGGTTGTAAGAGTAGGGCTATTATCACAGGTGGGAACTGACATATGCAAAAGGGAATTTGGAGATAATACAGCCAAAATTGTATGAAAAACATATGCTCAGCTGGTAATGAAAAGAGAGAATAATAAAAAGAAAGAATATAAAATGTACAGTGACAAAACTTACTTGGTTTCATGTGAATTATGATTTTATGATAAATCTTGTTACTTAATCATTAATATCTAACTACATCATTTACCTTCATTTTTTCATTCTGGGTTTCACTAAGCAAAAACTGAGACTGTTTTTAAAAAGCAATCTTTAAACTGTACCCTGTAAGAACTCTGGATACCTTTGAACCAGCTTCCATGGTCTCCTTGAAAAGAGAATTTGCTCTACATTTTCTAATGGAGCAATAATGAACAACAACACAAGAGGGTCTATATTTTTTAACAGGAGTACTTGCTAGTCAAAGGGAATCTTTAGAATTCGAGTAGATTAAAAAAAATCCAGTCAGTTTTAGGGAGATAATTTTAGACAGAAGGCTCTCTTGTAGATAGAATAATCCCACAGGGAGCCTGTTATAGAATTAGGTCAACTGAGATCTTTGTGCTTTTTCTAGAGTCTTCTAGTCTATTGCCTCTAAATTCATATATTTCCTAAAAGTTCAAAGTTTTCTACATTTCTTATGAACTTCTAAGGCAGAAGAGCTATAGACATAAGTTTGGGTAATCGTAAGCTGTCCATGACTTGCTGAAGTAACTCTACTTTCATTGATTTTGATCTAGTCAAACGATTCTGTGAAATGTTAAAAGTAGCTCTTTATTTTTGTACTCAAAAGTGTGCAAAGTATACTATATATAATAAATTTCAGATGAATTCACTGGTCATGTGAAAATTTTTTTCAAGAGCTATTAAAATTTCAGGAAACTCAGTAGAAATATTTAAGGGAAAACAAAAGCAAATACATATTTGAACAGGAATATTTTGAAATTATTATAGTTGTACCTACTTATAGCAAGTGTTTGCATTAAAAATCAAACAGCCACCTCTAGTATACATTTGATTTAATCATAAGTTGATGAAAAAAATGTGGAACCTTCAAAGTTAGTGACATACAGAAATCCTGGACAATGAATCACACAACAGTCACAATAGCACTCTAATCCAAAACTCTCATGATTTTGAAAGTTAAATAGGAAAATGCATATAAAGATTTATGGTCATGTTTGCTCATATATTAATTATGGCTGAATATTGTTTATTCACTGCTCATAAAATGATCAACCAATTCACTAGATTAGGTGTCCACTTCTTTGTTTATAATTAAAGCCTTTATAAACAGAGGTGTCATTAGTACATAAATGGACAACTAAGTCTGCCTGGTGTGAACTTGTGAATGGGAACAAATGTTCATTTACTAATGATCATTATCAAGGCAGGAACTATTACTAATTTTGAAAATTTAACTAAAAAAGAGAAATTCAACAGAAGTATTATAATTTCATTGTCTTTTTAGTTGCTAACTTTAAATAGGTCTCTATTTGAGATGTGCAAGTCATTTTTCACAGTAGAACAATTCTTTAAATTTTAATTAATACTCATACTTTGGATTGGTAAACCAGTGAAGAAATCATGCCACAAAAGTTAAAGCAAACATTTATCAATTTTCTTTTATACATGAGTTTATAACAACCAAGTTGACTCTAAGTGACTGAAGATTTATTCATAAAAAGGTTAAATTAGTCAGCCTAGCACTTCACCTGGCTGATTTTTTTTTTACCTGATTTCCATTTGGCTGGATCACTTTCAAGGGTGGTTCCTGGACTGCAGGGCTGACTGTAGTCGAGTATGTATAAGCCACCTGGGGAATTAGAATAGTCTGCTTATTGGTAGCGAGTGCTCGTAAGCATGGAACACTGTTCTGGTCAGCGATGGCCACAATTGTGGGTAACTGGGCAGTGACTGTAGGTATAGCAATGTTTATGGGGTTGGCACTTGGGATTACATTTACAACTGGTTCTGAGTCTGTAACACAATTGTCTTTTTGTGGCTCCTTTTTTGCACAAGACAAGTTCAAGGGTTCTTCTTGGACAGAATAAACACTGTTCTGGTAAACACTAGTGATAGTTGACCTTTCCAATAACTCTCCCTGCTGCTTTGGTAGTGAAAGATCAAGAGGTTCTACTTGTGGCTCTTCTTGTGTACCCTCTGCTGGGTACGAATAACCCTGTGTGTTTCTGGCTGAGGAAAGGTTAAGAGGTGATGGGGATGGCGTACTACTTCTGGAACCATTGACAGTTGATCCCACTGGTAAAACCGGGGAGTTAGACATCTTCAGAGGACTTTGTAGACTTGTGCTGTCCTGGGGTTCATTTGTATTTGTAGATTGAGGCTGTTCATCATTCTTTGCAGGTGTATTTATTTTGCCTGGTTCAGGGGAAGATGGTTCAGAAGACTGCACTGCAATCTGTCCAGCTTGCATCTTTTCAAACCACTTTTTAACTACATCCAGTGGTAGGTTTACAGAATCAGCAATTTTTGAGAGCTCTTCTGCACTTGGTTGTGCATTTAGAGCATAGTAGGCTTTTAGGAGTGATAAGAGGTTCTTTAAAGGTGGCTGACTGGGAGACAAATCGCCATCTCCAGTACCTGATGCAACAGAGGACTCAGGCTTCTCAGCTTCTGGGGCCAGGAGTGGAGGAGGCTGAGCAGGCTGCTTTAGGTCATAGTGCTTTAATTCTGGAAGTGCATTAAGATCGCCTGGACAATCATCGCATAGAAGGCAAGTGCTATCATTTGCTCCCTCTTCAAAGCTTTTGTCCTTCTCAGACTTAACAGTAAGATCTTCTGGTAACTTTTCACTTTTGCAACTGCTTGTAGGAACTGGACTTTCTTTTTTTAAATTTTGAGGAACAACTTGAAGTTGGCTAGGCTGCTCAAGACTGTAGTTGATGATAATTTTGGTTGTTCCATCTTGATCAACCAAAGGAAGACTGATGGCTGAAATGACAGAATGGCCACCTTGTTGTATGGATGAAGCACTGATTGTTTCTTGTTCTTTGGATGCAAGATTGGCTTGATTATTCTCCAAAACTTGCCTTATTACATTACTGTCTACTGCCACTTTAAGTACATTCTGAATATCACTTAAATTGATACTTATGGGAGACACCAAACCAACTGTTGGCAGAACAACAGCTTGCACCACACCCTGAGGAGAACTGGTTGCCTGTAATGGGCCACCACCACTAAAAACCCCATTTTGCAAAGGGGTCGAACAGTTGATTCCTGAAGCAACCACTATGGGTTTGAACTCATAATCCACAGGTTCAGTTTTAATTTGGTTTACAGAAAGTTGTTCTTGCAGGGGTTTATTCTCTATCTTTTGCCGTATCTGTGGTCGTGTGGGACTGCCTGGTGATGCCGAAAGAGATGGTGAGGAACACTGAGATGTCTTGAGTCCTGTTCTTGGTCGCCCATTCACAGGCATCAAGCTGATACATTTCTTACTGCTTATATGTGAGCTATAGGAACCAGAATGGGAAAAACGTTTCTTGCAGTTTGGGCATTCATATGGCTTCTCTCCTAAACAAAAAATTATATTCACTGAATTATTATGTAAAAGAATTTTTGTGTATTCACATTTTCTTCCAAAATAAGCAGTATCAATTTAAAAAGTATTACCATGTATGCTTGTGATATTATTTTATTTAGAATCATCATTTTAAGTTTAAAACTCACACAATGCTATAAACGCTAGTCTGAACTCCATGTACTTAATCAATCAGGGAATCTTCTTAGCATGTGCTATATAGCATTTCCAACCTCTGTGACTTCCAGTAATTCTTAAGTACCAAAAATAACTAATCCTACTTGTTCAAGTTATTTTTTCTTATCTTGTTTCACCAACCTATATAATTTTCAGTATATTACTCTACTCAACCTTTTGTAGGAGAAATTAACATTAGAAGAAAGCAAAGTTAAGTATCACCCTCCCATAAGGCTTAACACATATGAATGTTCTTGGTTGATTAAAATGTATATGTCCTATGATTTCTTTGAAAAGATCTCCCTTGGTGGGGGAAACCTTAACATAAGGCATTATTAGAATCATTGACTTATTAAACTGGAAAGCATATGCCGCTCCCTCACCCCCGACATAAAAGTTCTAACGGGTTTGCAAAATATAGAGGTTCAATTTTAATGAACCTAAATACTGCTTTTATGTTAAAATAGATTATCCTATGGACAAAATGCAACACTTGTATGAACTGATGAGAAAACCAACCTGACATCAAAGAAACTTGTTGTTTATGAAGGCCTTCCTTAAGTTGCCTGCCTAAACTCACCAGGGACATAAGGCATTTATTCTCTGCCATCAGAGAGACTATGATAGAAAATTCTGAGAAGCATTGAAAGGAATAAATTAAATGGAGTATTTTTATAGAAGCCTAATTTTTAAATTCTGGTTCTAATTTATAGTTATAGTTCATTAATTTGCAATTTATATATTATAGACTATCAGGTCCAATAAGTGGGAACCTTTGGTTTTTATTAGTCTTTTATTTTGTGGACCTATCAGAGTGCAGGTCTCAAAGATGCTCATTAAACATTTTTTAGATGAATGATGGCTAAGTGTGGAATTATAAAATGCTATGGTGCTGGCTTGTCTATTCAGTATTACAACAAAGCTCTTTTTATAAAAAGTCAACTTAAGCTCAGCTAATAATGTAAATTCAATACTGCAAAATTAAAAAATTGAATCATATTTTCTAAGAAATATGGCTATATGAAGAGTTAGATGTTAGAATTAGAAGAGATCTAAGAAGCCTTCTAACTAGAATTCTTTCAAAAAAGACTTCCTTTTATGTTTTTTTTTTTTTTTTGACATTAGTTAGTCTCTCTCTGCTTAATCTTCTAAGTAAAAGAGAGGTTAATGCCTGCAGGACAGCTTTATGGAAAAGAATCTATTCTGGTTTTACAGAGGACAATGGATTTGAGTTCACATTCTAGCTCTGTCATGTACTATTTTCTTAATCTTTCTAGACCTCAGATGTAAATATAGACCTTCTCACTGGATTGTTGTGGGGCTTATATGAGATTATACAGCAGAATTCTTAGTATATTCTGAATAAATGTAGTGCTTCTTTTAAAGAGCAGTTTACCAACAGACAGATTGAGGCCTGAGCCAAAGATGGCTTGCTCTCCATTCCCATTTCCCTGCCCTTGTTTGCTCTTCTGATGCCATACAGAACAAGTCTAACTTTTCTTCTTCAAGCCAGACTTTCAGAGCTGCAATGTGTATCCTTAAACTTCTGTTGTATAGATTAAATATAACCAAGTCCTTCAAACACTCCTCATAGGACATGGCTTTTAGGACCTTTATCTGCTTCTTAGCACACCTCTAAGACAATCACTGGTGTATCAATGTCTTTCCAATGGGATGTCTGGAATTAGGATTCAATACTCAAAATGACATCAGATAAAAGTTTTCAATGGGGGTTATATTGTAGTCTACCTCAACATTTTAAGTTATTTGATAAAACTTTAGGTGAGCTACATGAGTATTTTCCTGTTAAGAGATGATGGGAAGATAAACATGTATATTGATATCCTATCTTTACAAACGGGGAAATGGAGAACAGTGGCTTTGGAGTCAGGATGTCACCAACAGTGCCCCAGTTTTGACAAAGACTAGCTGAGTGACTTTGATCAACTTAATTAAGCTCTCTGAGCCTTCATTTTCTCATCAGAGCAAAAGGGAAATTATATAATTTACCTCATAGGGTTATTTGAGAACTACAGAAGTAAATATATATAAATAATTAGCAAGTGGCTATACATTGTCAAGTATTCAATACATACTAGGTATTATTCTTATTGTTCAGAATTACTTTGATACTTTATCATTGTGAGAAAGAAAGTCTACAGAGTAAGTATCCTGAAACCAAAGTTACTATGTTGGAAAATTGTTTTAACTTCATAGATTTATGGTGCATAACTTGAGCCCATTGCCTAACTTACCCAGGTTAGGTTTGCAACTATATTAGCTTAGCGGTTACATCAGCAAGCTTCACTACTCAAAGGTGGATGTCTTTAAATAGCTGAGGTGGGAGTTTAGTAGCTTCTCATGTAAAAATTTCCAGGCTAAAATCACTGAAGTCATAGAACAAACTTGACATTATTTTTGGGGAGGATTATAGCCTTTGTGTAGGTGCTCTTTTTCTTACCCCAGGGGAGATATGGTGGCCTCCTTACCATAGCTCAGATCCTACACACAATACATGGCTTTTAATGCACATGCTTTTGCACAGACTTCATTATTAAAATATATGGTGATCAGAACAGAGTAATAATCCAGGTAATTTCAGATAGCATAATTTTGGACCCTGATACTCAGCTCCTTTAAAAAGCCCATCTGAGAAAAAAAAACCAATCCATATAGGCACTAAGCAGTGCTTTTCAAACTATCTGCGGTAAAGAACCAGCTGGTTTTTGCCATCAACTATTGACTGATATTTAAAAAATATATAATGAAAAGTGTCACAGCAATGTCATTGTATAATAGTTTTTAAATGCTTGGTCTTAATTTCTGTATTATCTCTTCAAGAACCAGTAACACGTAGTTTGCAGCCTAGCACCAGTCCTGGGCTGATACTTGGAGGAATCCTGCTTGAAAATCTTCCTTGGCATTTTGAATTGTAAGTGTTTGCTGTATTAAAGGTGTACAGGCATATTAAGATTTTTTTCAATCCTGGTTTTAAGCTTGCTAAGCAAGTGCTTTATACCATTTGAGCCATACCCCCACCTTTTGCTTTAGTTTTATTTCTCAGATAGGGTCTCTTGCTTTGGTATGTACTGGCCTTAGATGGTACATCCTCCTGCCTCAACCCCCTGAGTAGCTGGGATTACAAGATTGAACCATCATGCCTGGTTTGTTTTTTGAGATAGGCCCTTGATACCGTTTTTGGTCAAGGTTGGCCTTGAACCATAATCCTATCTCTACCTTCAGAGGAGCTGGGAATAGGCATAAGTCACTACATCCAGCAAGAAAGTTTAATAAGACAGATATAAATACATAATGAATAGATAGTACAGAGCACAGTGGGAGTTTTGTGTTCTGTGAATTGGCTTAAATTTACATTAATTTTTCAGCAGCAATATAGTGTCAGCTCATATTAAGCTCTTAACCATTCAAATTTACTACTGATTAAGACAGATCTTTGGATATTAATGTAGGATTTTGCAATTAAACTTCAAATTCTCATCTCTAGGCCAGTATTTTAATCTTTGGTATAATCTATGCTTCCCAATTTCTATCACCTGAAGATCTGATGAATTTTATACAACTTCAATATGAATATTATTCTTATGTTTTATTTTACTTTTCTTTTTCTATCCTAATTCCAACTTTAAAACTCTCTTGAATTAACAATATCTTTATTAACAATTTCAAATCACCTCTAGTAAAAAGGTAGGTTATAGCCAGGCATGATGGTACACACCTGTAATCCCAGCTACTGGTGTGTGTGTGGGGTATGAAAGCAAGAGGATTGAGAATTCAAGGCCAGGTGGAGACCCTGTCTCAAAAACAAAGTAAAAACAAAAGGGCTGGGGTACAGTTCAAATGGAGGAGTGCTTGCTTAGCATGTACAAAGAGTCCTGGCTTTGATCACCAGCACTGCGGGGGAAAAAAGAAGTTAGGGGTTGTTCTCACTCTAGAGATGACCCACTCTCAGTCTGTGGAATGTGTACTCTTCTCCTAATAAACCTTACTACTATTTTCACTATTAAAAAAGAAGGTATGTTATTATAACTATATTGCTGATAAACATTGTTCTATAGCATAGGAACTAAGAAAAAAATATTGTGGCAGGCTGCAAAAGATAACCTCTACTTTTCAGAAATATTGATCAGCATGTGAAAATAAATGTTCCAAATATATCAAAGATATCACTAACCACCAGTCACAAAGTCACCCAAGTATACTTTTTTTTGTATACTTTGTGAAGTGTAAACATCAATACAGTAATGTTCACAAAGAAGGGCAATATGAAACACCCACATTTCCCCATTCATTCAAATTATTATTAACATTATTATTATTTTAGCAGTACTGGAGTTTCAACTCAGAGTCTCATGCTTGAGCACCTTAGTCACTCTGGCAACCTCATTAAAATTATTTAAATCTAAAACAATATATCAAAATTAATCAGGAGAATAAGAGATTTCAGAGTGTAATGTAGGATGCTATTAAGTTTTCTTTATACACTTGTTCAAGTATAATCTGCAAAGACATGAAAATATAGCTATTTGTCATAAGTTCCTATATATTTTCATGATATCATAATCATTTTGTAAGTAATGGTTTAGAAAATTATGTGGAATAGAATGGTGAAGATGATGGGAGCACATTTTTCTTCTTAATGCTGTCATTCTCTCTCCCCTACGCTGGCCCCATTCACACTACGTCTCATGATTTGTTACCATTTCTACTTTCCTAATGTAAAAGCTATCACTATCTTCACCTCCTTATTTCACTTTGCAAATTTCATGTCTATCTAAAAAGATACAATGAAATTAACATTCATTAGAAAACTAAAGTAGTTTTAGGTTATACTTGTTAAAACACAATATATTGTCTTCTGATTAGAAAACTTGGAAGTATATATGTTATTTTATATTATACTAAGTTGATACATTTTAAAGGTTAAGACATTAATAAAACACCATTTATAAACAAGAAATTTCTTCATATTGGTCTTTATCTAAAAATAAAGAAGCTATCATATTTATAGATCCCATGTTATATTTATTTATTACTACAGATACTATGATATGCAGGATACAGAAAGAAAGATATTTACCACTGTGAATTCTTAAGTGCTCTTTTAGGTGGTGTTTGTATTTGAAAGCCTTTCCACATTCAGTGCACTTGAATTTACGGTTACCCCCAGACTGTGTCACATGTCTCTGTAAGAAAGAATTAGTGTTTTATTTATAAAGTAAAAGAACTTTAGACATAAAGAACATCCAGCCTGCTAAAGTAATGCTTTGTATGAAACATTTAAACATTTTTAAACATTAAAAACATTAAATGAAACATTAAAAACATTTTAATGATTTTTTTTTGTTTCTTAAAGGCCTCAAATTGTAGCAATCACAAAAGTATTACAGAAGTTTTACCAAAAAGGATGGTGATCATGGGATCAGAATTCTGATAGAGAAAAATCTCCACTTTTCATTTAAATAACAGAGCCATACTTTATTAAGCAATATAGTATTTATCAAATATAAAGTGATATATACTTTACTAGGAACTACAGATTATCTTGTCTCACTCTTATTTAATGATCTGTTAAAGCAGTTACCCAATAGAAGACCTAGGTCTTAAAAATAATAAAGGCCTTTTCCAGTCTGTCTTAGACGTCTGATATTTTCAAAATGTACTTTGATGATTTAAAAAAATACTTCCATCTTTTCAGAAGATGAATTATCATAATAGCTTTCTGCCTGGTTTTTCAAATTCTCATTTATATATTTAAAATATATTCTGCACTTCATCTATGAGAGCACTGCTTGAATTGCATTATTGTGTTCAATACCTGCTCATAAACCTATGAAAGACCCCGAATAAAGATTCTGAGTCTACAGATTCCATGATTACAGCCCTGAGTTTCCAAAATTATTCTTTACCAGAAGTTTGTGCCTCAGCCATTTAATGAGTCTGGTTTATTTTGTACCATCTAGCTCCTCTCTACTTCCTTGCTGTGGCTTACATTATTCTTTATTTCTTGGCTATGTTTTCCCTTAATTCAATCTGTTAAGATTCTATCCACTACCTTCCAAAGGTTTAACTCAAGTACTACTTGCTCCATACTCACCCCAGATGACATTTCCCTTCCTTTCTTTCTTACTGTAGACTAGACCCTATCTCTCCCCAAACTCATAGCTTAAAATACCAAACATATGGGAAAAACTTTCAAATTTATAATCTCTCCTCCCTACAGACTCATAGCTTCTTTGACTCTGCCAGTTGGAAGGCACTAAGCATCTGAAACTTATCATGATTAACACCAAGCTTAATTCCCTCCTTCAAGTCATCTCCTTCTCTAGTTTTTCCTGTCTTTGTGACTAGTACCTTCATTTTTCCAGCTATTGCTTTCACCTTGAATTTTGTAATTATCCCAATTCTAACCCATCAGTAAACCATATGGATAAATTGTAACAACATTCTTCAGTGTGTCACATCTACACATGACCTCTGGCCTGCATTATAACAAAATACTCCAAATGGTCTTCCTGCTTCCATGATTGTCTCTCTTGATCCATCCTCCATCCTTCAAATAAAAATTTAAAATCCAATATTCTTCAAAGGCTTCCCTATCATATTTTAGAGTAAAATTTAAAGTCTTCATCTTGCCCTACACAAAGGCCCACATCATCTGGCTGTTCACATTGGCCACTTTACTGTTCCTTGGACATGCCAGCCAGGTCCCTGCCACAAGGCTTTTCACAGTTTCATTCTGTTCCCTATGACTAGAAAGCTCTCCCTCAATATTCCAAGACTGGCTCTTTCATTTTATTAAGGATTCAGTTAAGAAGTCTCATTCTCAGTTTTCCCTACCCTGTAAAAACTATAGCTTTTACACTACTTTCTGTCTTCTTACCCTTTACTTCTTTTATACTACCTGAATTCTACTTTATTTCTCTTTTATATCACCTAATAATGAACACTCCCTTGTTAGGACTTTGACTTTTTCATTCTTGTCTCTTTAATACCTGTAACAGGACCTGACATGGAATATATATTTGTTGAATGAATATAATAACAAAATATGGAAATGCTTATCTTTTAGTCACAGCATGATTTCCAAAGAGAGACCATCCATACTTCAACTTGCTGATCGTGACCTGAATTATTTCCAAGGCTTCTCAGTGACACTTCCTCACATTATAGGCTGCTGTGTTGAACACAGCTCCTTCCTGACCTTCCTCTAGCCCACAGTTTATGTACAAAACCCACTCTGTTTGTACCCCCCAGAAAAATAATACCAAGAGTGGCCTTTATGCTCATCAGGGATTTTAGATATTGCATTGATAATGGTGTCTTCTGCTGTCACCCTGCTTTTTTCCTCTGATAAGGGCCCTCAGTATAGAGAGGGTATGGTGGTAGCCCCTGCACGATGGATCTTTTTCCAAGTGTCACAGCACCAGGCTCTTTCCCCAAGCCTTGTCTATTCTGTGGTCCATTAGAAAAGTATTTCATTGTATTATCCTGGGTAAGATTCCTCAATAAGGGAACATGATAAGCAAGTGGTGTTTGTCCCAGCAGTTCCTTTTCTGTGTCAATTTCCTCCTTCTCTTCATACTCCATCCCATTTGGGGACTTCACCATTGCCTATTGTTGGAAATTCTGGCCCTATTCTCTTCACTGCTCCTCTTCCCCTATTATCTTGTTATTTCCTGAAGTCCTTGAGAAACAAGTTGACTCTGCTCCTTCTTTCTGTTATGCTTTTTTGTTTGCCATCATCTTGGCAAATATCTAACCTATTCTCTGTGGGACATGTGACTCATATTAGGCACCTACACTGGGCAGAGTTCTCAAAAATTCAGTATGTAGATACTTATAACCCTTTGATATGAGAAGCTGGACATGTGCCCCTGCCCCCAAAATGCCATATCATGCCCAGTGTAGTTGAATATTTGATTTTTAAAGTCAGTGTTAAATGGGTACTAATTCAATTGCTGATAGCTGACAGTTATTAGGAAAATCAAAATACAACATACCAGACCCTATGGGACACAGCAAAGGCAGTCCTAAGAGGAAAGTTTATAGCCATGAGTGCATCTATTAGAAGGACAGAGATCTCAAATAAACGACCTAATGCTACAACTCAAACTCCTAGAAAAAGAAGAGCAAGCAAAACCCAAAACAAGCAGAAGGAGAGAAATAATAAAAACAAGGGCTGAAATTAATGAAATAGAGAACAAAAAAACCATACAAAGAATCAACACAACAAAAAGCTGGTTCTTTGAAAAAAATAAACAAGAATGACAAGCCCCTGGCAAATGTGACTAAAATGAGGAGTGAAAAGACCCAAATTAGCAAAATAAGAAATGAAAAAAGGGGAAATAACAACAAATACCATGGAAATCCGAGGAATCATCAGAGACTACTTTCAGAATCTATAGTCCAATAAATTGGAAAATCTTGAAGAAATGGACAAATTTCTAGATACTTATGACCATCCAAAACTGAACCAAGAAGATATTAACCACTTAAACAGATCTATAACACATAATGAAATTGAAGCAGCAATAAAGAGTCTCCCAAAAAAGAAAAGTTCAGGACCTGATGGATTCTCAGCTGAATTCTACCAGACCTTCATAAAAGAACTAATAAGAACACTCCTTAAACTTCTCCATGAAATAGAAAGGGGAGGAACACTGTCCAAATCATTCTATGAAGCCAGTATTACACTCCTCCCAGAACTACACAAGGACACATTCAAAAAGAAGAGAACTACAGACCAGTCTCCTTAATGCACGTCAATGCAAAAATCCTCAATAGAATAGTGGTAAACCAAATCCAACAACATATCAGAAAGATCATTCACCATGACCAATTCAGCTTCATCCCAGGGATGCAGGGATGGTTCAAGATATGCAAATCAATAAATGTAATACAGCACATTAACAGAAGCAAAGACAAAAACCACATGATGATCTCAATAGATGCAGAAAAAGCCTTTGATAAGATTCATCACCACTTCATGATAAAAGCTCTAAGAAAACAAGGAATAGAAGGAATGTATCTCAACATTTTAAAGGCTATATATGACAAACCGATAGCCAACATTATACTTAATGGAGAAAAACTGAAACCATTACCCCTAAACTCAGGAATGAGACAAGGGTGCCCACTCTCCCCACTCCTATTCAACATTGTTCTGGAATTCCTAGCCAGAGCAATTAGGCAAGAAGAAGTAATAAAAGGAATACAAATAGGCAAAGAAATAGTCAAAATATCCTTATTTGCAGATGACATCATTCTATACCTCAAAGACCCAAAAAACTCCACCCAAAAACTTCTAGACACCATAAACAGCTTCACCAGTGTAGTGGGATACAAAATCAACTTACAAAAATCAGTAGCCGTTCTATACATAAACAATGAACAAACTGAGAAAGAATACAGAAAAACAATTCCATTTATAATAGCCTCCAAAAAAATTAAATACCTAGGAGTAAACTTAATGAAGGACGTAAATGACCTCTTCAAGGAGAACTACAAACCACTGAAGAAAGAGATAGAGGAATACTATAGAAGATGGAAAGATCTCCCATGCTCATGGATTGGTAGAATCAACATAGTAAAAATGGCTACACTACGAAAAGCAATCTACATGTTCAATGCAATATCCATCAAAATTCCAATGACATTCATCACAGAGATTGAAAAATCTACCCTAAAGTTCATTTGGAATCACAAAAGACCATAAATAGCTAAGGCAATACTGAGCAAAAAGAGCAATGCTGGAGGTATCACAATACCCGACTTCAAACTATACTACAGAGCCATAGCAATAAAAACAGCATGGTACTGGTGTAAAAAAGGTATGGAGACTAGTGGAACAGAACAGAGGACCTGGATATGAATCCACACAGCTATGCCCACTTTATCTTTGACAAAGGCACCAAAAGCATACGGTGGAGAAAAGACAGCCTCAACAAATGTTGTTGGGAAAAGTGGCTATCTGACTGTAGAAAACTGAAAAGATCCATGCCTGTCATCCTGTACTAGTATCAACTCAAAGTGAATTAAGGACCTTAATACCAGACCCGAAACCTTTTTAGTACATGAAAGAGCAGGGAATACCTTAGAAACCATAGGAATAGATAAGGACTTCCTCAGTAGAACTCCATCAGCCCAGCAACTAAGAGAAAGGATGGGCAAATGGGACTATATGAAATTAAAAAGCTTCTACACAACAAAAGAAATGGTCTCTAAATTGAAGAGCCCACCCACAGAATGGGAGAAATATCTGCTAGGTATATATCAAAGGACTGATAACCAGAATATACAAGGAACTCAAAAAACTAAACTCCCCCCAAATCAATGAACCAATAAAGAAGTGGACAACTGAACTAAACAGAACTTTTTCTAAGGAAGAAACTCAAATGGCCAAAAAAAAAGGCTATCATCAAGAACACCACCACCAACAAATGCTGGTGAGGATGTGGGGAAAAAGGAACCCTCATACACTGCTGGTGGGAATGTAAGCTAGTACAACCACTTTGGAAAACAATATGAAGGCTCCTTAAAAAACTAAGATCTGCCATATGATCCAGTAATCCCTCTCCTAGGGATATACCCAAAGGAATGTGACTCAGGTTATTACAAACGCACCTGCACACACATTTATTGCTGTACTGTTTACAGGAGCCAAGCTATGGAAACAGCCAAGATGCCCCACAATTGATGAATAGATCAAGAAATGTATTTATACACAATGGAATTTTACTCAGCCATAAAGAATGAAATTTCGTCATATGCAAGTAAATGGATGGAACTGGAGAACATCATCTTAAGCGAAGTTAGCCAGACTCAAAGGCCAAACTTTGCATGTTCTCCCTCATACGCGGATTATAGACCTAAAACAAATGCAGTAATATTGTTGTATATGGGCCACATGCTAAGGGGAGAATGTGCACGGGAAAAATAGGGAAAGGAAAGGAAGCCTAAAACTTGAATGTGGTTCATGTGCTCCCTGTTGAGGAGCGAAAAAAGTAATTTAAAATTAGCAGAGGCCACTATGGGAAGGGGACTAGGAAGTAGTGAAGAGGTATGGTAGAAATGATCCAATGTTGGTTGTAATACACAAGTGCATGGAAGCAATGCTAGGAATCTCTCTGTATAGCTATCTTTACCTCAAACAAGAGAAAATGCTATGTCTTTCTTATTATCTCTTATGTTTTCTCTTCAACAAAATTGGAGAAGAAGATGGTGGAATATGTTCTGCCTGGAAGCGGGGGTGGGGGGAGGCAGTTAGGGGGATGGGAGGGAATTGGTACAAACAATGTATACACATGTAAGCAAATAAAAAAATGATAAAAAATAAAATGAATTGAAATTCTTCAAAAAAAAAAAGAAACTGCACATGTGCCCCAACCCGAAAAATGCTGTACCATGCCCAGTGTAGTTGAATATTTACTTTTTAAAGTTAGTGTTAAATGGGTACTAATTCAATTGCTGATAGCTGACAGTTATTAGGATCTTAAAAAAAAGACAATTTATTTTTAGCCCAAATATAGCTATGAGTTTAAATGTAGCTAAAGAGTTAGAGAACATCCTTGGCTTATACTTCTAGAAAATGGGCTCAGTGACAAAGAATTAGCATATGAAAATAGTCTTCTAAGTAAAAATTCTAAATTTTAGATTCTTAGGAGTCAACTTACTGTCGGAAAAAACCAGTTTCTTATACTGAGAATAAATAGTCACTGGTTCAAAGAAAATTTTTAAAATTAAATTTTCTTCTCAATTTGGCCAGTAGTAATATTTATTTTCCTTCACTGAACATTTTGGCAGAATGTAATCTGAAACTTTCCAAATTTGGAGGAATATTTGGTATGGTATAAGCAAAATAATTTAATCAAGATGGAAAAATCTTATCTGAAGAGATTTAAAAAGCCCACAAATAACTTCCATTTTTAGAAGGCTGCAGACAAGACAGTGTTTAGTACATCCTTTTAGGTATACTATAATACTTGTTGTTCACTGAGGGTTGAGTTCCCAAAGTTTGGAAAGTTAGTGATCTCTTGGTCATTTCACTTACTTGATCTCTTCCTGACTTATGTGACGTCATGTGACGTTCAAGCTGGGTTCGGTATGCAAAAGTGTAACTGCACAGGGAGCAACTGAAGTTATCTTCATTTTTTTCATGGCGATATTTAATGTGTTCTTTCAGAGAGGTAAAGCGTTTATAGCCTCTATCACAATATGGGCAGGTAAGTAATTGGGAAAACGCGTCTGGTGTTCCTGTAAAAGAGATTATATATTTTAAATGTAAAACATTTAGAAGATATTACTAAAGTTACTACTGCGTCATATTCTATATGCCAAATAATGTGCTATCCATTTGTATTTCATCCTCAAAACAATACAATAACACACATCCCTAGTGTATAAAGGACAAAATATGAGACTCAGAAAGGTTAAATAACTTAAAAGACACAAAGCCAGTATTCAGTCTGACTTTTAAGTCCCCTATCTTTTTCACCAAATCATAATTCTTCCCTTCTTTCTTTATGGTTACCCAGACAAAACACAAGATGTAAGATGTTGGTTACATTTGTAAATGTATACCTATTAAAGGCAACTGTATAATAGAACCTCTCTACTGGTAACAACTATCATTATTTATTTAATGTTAATTTTTTTGAATTGAAAAATGACACTATAAAATTGCCATCTTACAGAATAAGTTGTCCCAGTCAGAGTATGTTTCCAAGACCACCTTGCAGTTAGGTGTGACCACGTGACTGAGTTCAAACCAAAAAGAATGTATATGGAAAGTTCTGGAGGCCAGATGTAGGCCTGACCCATGAAGACCTCCATGTGTGACCTTTCATGGTCTTTCTACTATAGAAATACAGTGGCAAGTTTTATGTATAGTTTTACAGGTATGAAAAATATGTATAACTTTCAGAAAACAAAGGCATTCTGGATAAATTAGAGCTTACAGAACTAGATTTATAACAAACAAAATGTGTTTTCATTTTTGAAAAATATTTAAATCTTGTTTTATAAGAATCACCTTTTGGCAATGAAGGTTTGCTATACAGGGGGAAAATATTTCTTTTCAGAATTCCTATAGTGAACTGAAGGGATTAATTCAATGCTACTAGAAAATAAAGCCAACCTATATCTGACCAGTTTCAAACTGTATAATCTCTTCGTAAATCTGTAACCATGAATATTCTTATCTTTTTAAAACAAAACTTGTCAATTTTTATGCCATAGATTTCCTTTGGTGGGCAACATAACATTTCCAACTGGTAATAATTCTTAATGTAGAATCTTGGAAACATCCCCTATATCTTTTCCTCATTGACTGAGAATTTGTGACTATTTAACATGCTAGATGGTGGAGTTAAGTTTGATGATTTACAGCTCACTAGGAAATACAGGACTGCTTGTTTAATCTCCTGAAAATTTAAAAACTTAAGTGTTTCTGAGGATAATCACTTTTTCTATGTAACTACATATTGCTGGTGTGACAGGACTTACTTGGCAATACTTTATTAGCATTTAATTAAGTTACAATATAAACCTGAAAAATTAGAGAACATCTAAACTATCAACATAGTCTATAATTTGCATGTTTTACTAATTCAGAATAGTTAGCTCTCCACTGTTTAGGAGATTTTGGTGTGTTGATTTACAATGGCGAACTATTTATTGTGGTACTGGGTTTTGAACTCAGGGCCTCATGCTTGCTGGGCAGGCATGCTACCACTTGAGCTACTCCACCAGCTCCACAATGACAAACTTTACAAGGCTCAACCTTATTGGATCTATGTAATGAAACATATCTTTACTTTTTTCATTAAGGCTTTTTGAAAGTCTCTGTTGCATAAAAATTTTACCTATATACATATATATTTAATGTTTTTCTATTTCCCTTTCATTTCTATCACAACCTGTTTCTTCAGGTGAAATGGTACATTTTCTTTAGGAGAAAAAAATCCCCAAGCAATGAAAGTAGATATGGTAGAGTCTTCCAGCATTACAAGCATGGACTCTACAAACACACATATAGAGCAACTAAGTACTAATGATAAGATTTAGCTGAAATGCAGTTACCCCAGCCTCAATAATCTGCATTTTTCAAAAATGCACCTGTTAGCGCACTGGGACAAACAGTTCTAGAGTGTCCTACTTCTGTTTCTTTTGTCACAGATTTGATTATAGAAAATTTAATCTATTCTACAGTAGAACCTGATTCTGCTTTTTTTCATTTGAGGCCTGGTCTCAGGATGCAGCACAGGCTGGCCTCAGCCCCCCGTCTGCCGGGTTTATATAGGCACGTGCCAATGCTGCCATACTGGGCTCCTGTTTCTCTTTTCATAGTTGATTTCTGATTTAAGAAAGATACAATTGACTCCTTGCCATGAAATCTATTCTGGCTTTCATGCCATCTTTCTCAATTTCTTCCAAAAACTTCAAAGTTGATTACTTGAATTCTAAGTTAAATTTATCTACTCAATTGGGAACTATGGAAAAATAAAGCAAGATTTAGGATATATTCTTTGTAGCACTAGCAATTAAACTTGTGGGCTCATACTTGCTAGGCAAGCACTTTACCACTTAAGCCATGTTCCCAGTCCTTTTGTTTTTAGTTTGTTTTTCAGATAGGGTCTCAATAACTCTTCTCAGAGCTTGCCTGGGACCAGTCCTGGTCCCATGCCTGGTTTGTTTTTAAGATAGTGTCTTGATAACTTTTGCCTAGGTTGGCCTCAAACCATGATCCTACTGTCTCCACTTGCCAAATAACTGGGATCACAGGCATGATCTGTAACCCATGGTCCCAGGTTTAAGATAATAATACTTCACCAATCCTTAAACATTTCTAGTACCTTCCTATTCTTGTTGTAGATGTTGCATAAAATTTCTTACAGGAACATGTGCATGTGATTTTCATCTCTTTATTGTGTTTGGAAGGACAGAGTGACAGTTGATTTCTTTTCAGGAGTGTCTATTACTGTGTTTTCACTATTTTTTTATACGTGGAGTGTTCATATCAGAGTAGACTAAAGAATATACAGAAAAACTATTCTCTCCAAATAGTAAGTATGTTTTGTGTCAGTAAACCAAGTTTGGCTTGCTAAAAGAATAGTGAAAAAGAATCAAAGGGCAGTAAGGGTCAAACTAGTCCTCATTTCTACTTCCTGCTGCCATTTGTGTGAATGGAAACTGACATCCAGACACTTTTCTAAGGCTTTACGTGCAGTTACCTCTACATACACAGCAGCTAATAATCTAATTCTGCACTGTTACCCTGGGTGATAATGCCTCAGTATTAAGTCTACTCTCTTATAGGTACCCACGATAAATTTTGGTCCTCAAAATTATTCCCTATAGTAAAGCAGATTCCCATATTAGAGAAATAGAAAAAATGATCCTTTAAATTGAGGAAGAAAAATAAGTGTGAAGTTCTGCTTACCATTTTCGTCATGCCCACTGGCTTCCGGCGTGCCCTGCCTCTGGTCTTCTTCTGGCGCCTCAGGGTAGATGACAGCAGTGTCTTGTTGCTGAAGGAACTCTTCAACATTAGGATCGTGGTTTTGCTCATTTTCTGCATCTGAGTCGCATTCGTCATCTTTTACTAAAAGAAATGAATTCTTTATAAAAAGCAATTTTACCACCAAGTTGTCACATAATTTTTCTAAATAAGAAATTATCTTGAGACAGCACATGATCACTCTTGAAATAGGAAATAGTTACTGGAAACTAAAAATGAATTCTATTTGTTTTTTGAAATCTACAAAGAAGTCATTTTACTTTATACATTTAAAGAGTTATAAGCTGGGTATGGTTGCACATGCCTTAATCCCAGTACTTTGTAGATATAGGCAGGAGGATCTAGAGGTTTATGGTCTACCTGGGTTTCATAGGGAGACCTTGTCTCAAAAAACCACAGAGTGTTATAAATGTCTGAAATTCTCATATTCCTTTTAAGCTTTAGAGCCATTCTTCTATTCCATTTGAATAAACAAAACTCAGAGAAAGTAATAAAGTTGACTGAATTATTTCTCACTTGATAAAGCAAGAAATAAGAAAACCTTTGTTTTCACAGATCACTTTCTTAGCAGCCTATCATAATACTTCACGTTATACTTTGCATCTGAGTCACTCCCATATAACCATTTTTTTCAGTTCAGTTATATGGTTCTTTTAAAAATAGCTTTAATAATTATATATAGTTAGAAAGACTTCTGAGTCAAAAGGGATCAAATCACCAAAAATTGTTATTTCCTCTAGAATTCCCTATATAAACAAGGCAATTCTTTCTCTATTTCTGCCTCAATAAATGTTTAACCACAAGATTAAGTCAGAGACTACTTTTCTTGAGTTAAAAAGGTATAAGAGAACAGAATGAGTTCACCTGAGCAGGCTGCCTAGAGTGTTGCTGAGTTCTTTGGCAGCCTTGCTGCACTACGGTTTCCTTCATTTGCTGCTCTAGAGGAGACTTTTCCAGACAGGCTCTAGAAGAGTCTTTTCAGACAGGCTCTAGAGGAGAATGTTTACTCCATGCTGGTGGTGAGTAATGAATTAGCATGACTCCTGGCTGACTTCTTTATAGACTTCAGACTGAATAGTTCATTCTAAATGTGTAAAATGGCACTTCCTAGCAGACTGAAATTGGTCCAGATTACAATGGTGATGTATGGGCATTTTTTGTTTGACAGTTACTGAAACAATCTTGCTAAATCCCCTGCACAGTAATAGAACCAAACTCCTCAGGGTGACTCATATTTAAAACCCGAGAATCAATGGAATGGTAATAACAGTGATTCATAATTCTTTCACCTTTTTAATATAGCCAGTAAGCTATCAACTACTTAGTATCTGCTGCACAGTAAGAATTAATACTATTTAATTCATGGTAGTAGGTCCCTAACTGGGGTTGCTGTATTTATAAGTAAGTGAAGACTTTTTAAGAGGTGAGCTGATACTGCTGGCTTTAAGGGAATCAATCCCCAGACTCCAACTCCCATGGATAGACTCTTTCTTAGCATCATCCTGAAGGTTCTTCTCTTCTCCACTTTTCACAGAACCCTTTGTTCCCACTTTCTGAAAAGAAAGAAAGGCACATCTCTCCACCTATCAGTAATACTAATATGGTACACTGCTTTGGAGTATAAAAATCTCTAGGGTGCCAAAGGAGAAAAGTTGAAAATACTGACTTGGGAAAACCTCCTTTATTGGTTAACACAACTGACATAAAAACACTAGAGGCCTTCCAGTTTCCTGTTTACATGTCCTCCTGTGAGGTGTAAGCACTGCAGCTGAAATGGATAGCGGGCCCTGGTGGGATGCTGACATCAACTACGTGCCATGACACGGACAAAGAAGTGAGGGGAATTTTCCTTTAATTACGTCATGTGTTGCACCCTAAACCATTACTAAACAGCTTACTGCTCTCCAGGAGACTGATGAGAGCAAAGCAAAGAGCATCCGCAAACATTCTGTAGACACTATCATCAGCTGGAAAAATAAGCATTTTTGAATAGGTAAAGCAATACATTTCAGTGCCATCAAGTCTTTTCAATGCAATTTCAAATTTTCAAGTTAAATTACACAAAACTCATAAATTAAATTGGTATTTTATGTGATTTCTTGTAGACTCCATATAGTTAAGATTTGACAAGATAGGTTCAATTATTTTTTTTTTATCAAATTGTTACAAAGTCAGGTGTGGTGGTGCAGGTCTGTAATCCTGGTTACTTAGGAGGCAGAAGCATGAGGACTGTCTGAAATCAGCTCAGGTAAAATTACTAAAACCCTATCTCAAAATCAAAATAAAAAACAAAAGGGCTGGGAACCACAGCTTAAGTAATAGAACACTTACATAGCAAGGTCCTAGCTTCAATACCAAGTACCACCAAAGAAATGTGTTTTTTCAATTTAGAATTCATCTAATAAAATGTTAATATTTTCTACATCTTACCAAAAAAATTGTATATATGCTAGCTATTTGAGTAATGAGTTTTTAAATAGTATATACTTATCAGAATTATAGTCTGTATTATATAGGAATTTTTCTTCTTCAATAACAGATACATACATATATATTTATATACACACACACATATATATACATAAGCTTACCTATATACTGACTGGTTCTAAATGTAGTCAAAGATTTTTATAACTTATAAAAATTAGGTTAGATTTATAGCATCTTAACTTTGGCTTCAATACTGAGTAGTTTACTTTTATAAGATGTATTTATTTGCATTTTATATATTCTTATTTATTTCTAATTTATATATTCATCACATATTTCCTTATTGAATAAGTTTTTATAAAATTCCTCAAAATGTGTACTGGTAAAATGAAGACATACTTTTTCTCCAGGAAGTCTGATTTGGCTGACTGTATGACAGTAACAACTGGCTTTGCTAAGTTAGATTAGGTAGAAATTTTCCAGAAATTGGGTGAAATAAAGTATTGATCAAAAGATAGACAGCACATGTAGTATGATATGAAAAAGAATTTTTATTAAAAGTGTATTGGCAAAAGTACTGAAATGATTCTAATGGGTAGGAAACAAATCTGTTGCACATTAGGTGGCTTTGAATTTTTGTTTTCAACAATATTGAAGAGTACTTAACTGAATTATTAGTGCAGGACCTTAAAATATTTTTATTGACAGACAGCTATAACTCTTAGCATAAGTATGAAGATGTATAAAGAACTGAGTAACTCATAGTTATAATAAAGCATTTTATTTGATCTTCTCATTTGAGAATAAGGTTATCTTACTGCTAAATGAAAAAAAAAAAACCAGAAACAGCATTAATGCTTTAGGAATAATGAACATTAAGCTGCGTGGGGTGGTGCATTCTGTAATCCCAGCATTTGGGAGGCTGAAGCAGGAGGATCTTGAGTTTGGGCTCAGAAATTAAGAAAAACCTTATCTACTTTAATCTTACTTTCAATAACATTTTCTTTAACACTTATTTATTAAAATGTATAATATATTTAGGTTGGATCAAGTATGAACTATTAATATAAGTGACTAATTGGTCTATAATTTTTTAACCCTTAAGAATCTTGTGGGCCCTAGAAATTAAAGAGAAATTCCCAGTTTAATTTATAAACATACTCTTCTTATATGGAAATATGAGTTGATCAAAATGCCCTTAAAGAAGAAATTTTTATGTTAGCATAAAATTCTACAGGGCATACAGAAGGCAAGTAAGAGTTAGAAGTAAACATTATGCTATGACATTGCTGACTTTCAAAGAGCTTGCTGACTTCAAAAAAAAGAATTATTCTTAGATATTAAATTGCTGTGGGTTTCACATGTAAGAGTGATGTTAAACAAGTTAATATTTATAATATGCCAGAAACTGTTACTACTGACTACAAAATGAAAAACTTTTATGTCCATTAATAAGTTTGTGAGCTGTACACAATCAGTTTACATCGTATACAATTAGTATTTAATAACAGTAACTCTTAAAGTTGTTGTGAAGATTAAATTAATAGAGTAATGTATTTATTAATACTGTACCTGGCATGTATTAAGTGCTACATAATTGTTAGCTATTTTTCTTAAAGCAGTCCTGTAAGGTGAACATCATGATTTCACAATTAAAATTGTTCTTAATTAAAAAATTAGGGTTAGAAAAGTTAACACAGCTTTTCCAAGATAATGCAGGAAAAAAGTATTATAATTATAGCAGATAATTTGGTGTAATATGTCTGATATCAAATTCTGGGCTCTTTATACTATCTTTATGAACCCACATTTATCAAGCCTAATTTCAAGCTGAAACCAGAAGTTCTATAGTTTTACCCATAAAATTTAAAGTGTCAAAAAAGTCAATTATAAATCAAGTTTTCTGGTCTTAAGACTGATAACCTTGTATTTAAATGTTAGAGAAATTTAATAAACATACAGAAATATGATAATTTAGTTTTCTTTTAGGTAGAACAGAACTCAGAGCTGACTGGCAAAGTATAAAATTATAGGGTTACAATCACAAATTAAATAGAGCAAATATTTAATATAAAGACTAAACAGAAATATGATAATTTAGTTTTCTTTTAGGTAGAATAGAACTCAGAGCTGACTGGCAAAGTATAGAATTATAGGGTTACAATCACAAATTAAGTAGAGCAAATATTTAATATAAAGACTAAAATGTTTTACTTAGCCATCAATATAAAGTTTTTTTCCTTATACAGAATAAAGTATCCTATGGTTTCCTCCAAACTTTATCTTCCATTTTTGAAACTTGGCAAACCTACTAACTATAAAAACAAAAAGGGATGTTCAGGAGAACAGAGGATATTAGGGGCGAATATTTGACTTGCTGAATATTAAGGGCAGTCTACAGGTACCTTAGCTTCAAGAACAGCAAAAGGAAGTCAGCTATGGAAAACACCTGACAAAGTTCTGAACTAATGATAGTGACCTTTGTACCATGTTTTTTGTCAGCTTGTTATTCCTAGAAGCCAAGAAGTAACAAAAGCAAAGGCAACATAATTTGAAAGTGTAACTGCTCAAAAGTGTCAAAAGTTCAATTTCTATCCTTTTTTCCTTAAGGCCACATTAATTGGAGCTTTATTAAATGTTTGCTTGCTCCTGACTCCTCCCCATGGTCCAGAGAAATTAATGCAGTAGGGATTCTCTTCTTATGGGTAGGCAGGCCTTAACATTTAGTGGCAACTTTGGTTAATACAAGGTTACTCTGCTTTCCAGACATGATTTTTTTGAGAGAATTTATATATACCAGTATTTCAAACTAAAAGTATTCATTTATTAATAAGTTATTTATAGTGAGATAAAATACTATAAACTTGGAACTATGCATGTCTTTTTTTAATAGTATTTTGCCTAGAAGGACAGATGGTCTTATAGATCTGGTCATACAGAGCAATAAATAGCATTCCTTTGTATTTATTAACATTGTTGATTTCCTAATAGCAAATATACAGTTTAAATATTTTATATGACATTATTGTTTTACTATTAACAAATAGTTTGTTTAAATATTTTATATGATCTGTAGGCTAGCATGACAAATATTTGATAACAAGCATACCTGGATACATTATTCATGCAAGTTACACATGACCAAGGGAAGATTATAAAGCCTCAGTCAGTAAGTGCCACAGCTTATCACATACTCCATTATTAATTAATTAATTTGGAATTCACCTTTAATAATAGCACAAAGATTTACCGTTTGTTTTATGCAACTGACTGATAACTATGGGAGTACTAATATTTATATTACAGATGAAAATTTGTTTTTGACACAAAAAGATAAATTTATAGGGCTCTATGGAATACCCCTAAAATGTATTTCAAAGTCAAAGATCTATGAATATTAAAAACATAGAAAAGAAGGAAAAAATTTAATTAAAATTATATGATAAAGACAATCTATGACTGGATATAAATAATACAATTATATTTCTTTCAAGTACAGTAATTGAGGAAATGTTTGAATAATTTGGAATTTTTCAAGTTTACATTCTAACAATTCTACCCGGCTTAGGGGAAACAATAAAAAGTGTCTGGTACTATCATGATTTAGTTTTCCACTTACTCTTTTGCTTCTTAAATATGATCTGAATCCTTTACAGAGCAATAGCCTTAAGTTTCAGGAGTATGTACTTTTTAGTCATGTAGAATTTCCTTGTTTACTACAATTCAACTTCATTGTGGCCCTTGCAATCACAGAAATTACAAGAAAAATTTAATTCTCTTGTTTGCTGTGACATGTTCACTCAACTCATCAATATTCATGATTATCATCTAACTTACAGACAACCTATGACATTTGCTTTCTCTCTTCTCTTTTCTGTCTCATGGGTAATTCAAAGCAGACCTTGGTAACTAATAATGAAACTCAAAACAGTTATTAGATCTATAATTCTATAACTTCAGTAAAAATTTAATGTATACTTGAATTTTCACTCACTTATTTTTGGATTATCATTCTTGTCATCCTTATAGAATGGAAAAATCTGCTATATTATATAAAGCTATAAGTCTACATTGTATTTAAATAATATTAACTTTGAGCTATGTATATGCCAAAGTGCTTAAACATTTAAGGAGGGCAAGATAAAAGAGGAGGAGAAAGACTAAATTTAGGGCTTAAAATGCAAAAAGCCAGTGTCACAAATGCCTCCTTCAAAGGCTGTGAGAGAAAACAGCAAGAGTACCTGTGCATCCTGCATCACCTGCCTGAGCTTCAGGCCCCAGGATTCCTTGCCCTTCCTTTCCTGGTGAAATAGAAGAACAAGGAATTAAATAGATATATGTGTATGTGTCACAAATATTTTAACTTCCAGAAATCTGAAAAGAAAACTCTTAGTTCAGATTATATTTAAGTTGGATATTTTCCTTTTATAAATATGGTAATGTATCCTTGAAAAGTAAAAGATTTGTAAAGAAATTAAGGGGGCAGTTTAACAAAATCACAAAGACATTTTAGAGAAACAAAAATTAGTGCAGATTTAGATATAAATCTATAATTATATATTTTAGACTTACAGGTTGAATATCCTCTATGTGAAATGTTTGGGACCAGAAGTGCTTGGGATTTTTCAGACTTTTTTTTCAGACTCTGGAATACTAGCACATATAATCAAGATATCTTAGGGATAGGACACAAGTCTAACTATGAAAATCATTTATGTTTCATATACATCTTATAAACATAGTTAATAAGCTATATAACAGCTAGCAAGATAAAGTTATTAATCTTTGTAACAACACATTTTATAAATTTAAAAAGCAAAATACAACTTGAGGTTTGGAGAAGCTAAATAACTTGTCTATAGACACATAGCTATTAGGTGGGAGAAGTGGAATTTGAACGCAGATCTGATTAACTCCAAAACCCACTTTCTACTACACCCTTGCTTTTTCTAATTTGAGGACTAGAAAGCTGGAAAGATTGAGCCAAATATCATTGTCCCCAAAACAAACACCTAAGGCACCTATGCCTTTTCTTTTAATCTATTTATTATTCTAACTACTGACAAATAGTAATGATAGAGGCATTGAGAAACATTTTTATGTTTATTATTCTCCCTTGACACCTCTATGTTTACAGAATAGATTTGCCATAAATTTTTTGTTATAGATAAATGTATCCTTTTTGGCAAGCAAAAATTATGTTGTATATCTTTAGGTACATGCTATCTATCATAATACTTTATTAAGAACATGTGCATGTATTAAAGACATGAAGGAGTTAAAACTGCTTTTATTAATACAGCAAAGTACATGTCATAATCATGACCAGAATACTTGCAAAGTCATACAAAAACATAATAGTTTTCTGCACCCCAATCAAATCCCACTGAATGTCAGTCAAAAATCCTGATTTAGATTTCTCCTTAGTTTGATTGTTGAGTAACAGAGCACTAATAATTAGCCATTATGAGTGCCACAATAAGGGACTAACTGACTCTGATCTCTGCTAATCCTGCATTACTGTCCCTGCTAAAAGAACTTATCAATAAAGCAAATGTCAACAAAATTCCTGAATTTTAACTTTAAGACACTGGAACATTAATAAGTAATGAGATATTCCACTGAGTAGTTTTCCAGACAGCTTCATTTTCCCTACCTTGTATCTTCTAGTCTACTTATATGCAAACACGTATGGTACAGGTTGAGCATCCCTAATTTGAAAACTCAAATTTACATTTTGGATTTTTAAATATTTTTGGATTAGGGCTGTTCAACCACTGAAGTCTATACAAGCATTCAAAAATGTGAAAAACTCCAAAATGTACTAGTTCTAGTCTCAACCATTTCAGATAAGGGATACACACAACCTACACAATCATCCATCAAAGCCACAATGACCATGAAGACCTGTTAATTTAGAGCAAGCTAAAACATATGTGAGGTAAGATTCAGTTAAGATGGAGAAAGCATAAACTACCTAGTGTCTTATACTGAATGTAGCTAATGCAGCTAACCTAGGAGAATGCATGGACTAGACATTTGATAATGCTTGAAAAGTAAATCACACCAGGCCAACTGAAGAAGCTACAAGAAGGTTTCAAAGCACCACAGTGTGGGCTGGCAGAGTGGCTCAAGGGGTAAGAGTGCCTGCATAGCAAGCCTAAGGCTCTGAGTTCAAACTCCGTACTACCAAAAAAAAAAAAAACAAAACAAAAAATGCAAAGCACCACAGGTTGATTCCCTCCCACAACTCTGGTATTCCTTGGCCTGAAAGTGCACTGGGGCACTCTAGTTTAAGTTTATGGAACAGGAAAGGGCTTAAAGAAGAGAGAAATATCCATTTCCTTCTCTATTTTCTTTTTCCCTCAACCCCCAGGTAATTTCAAAGTAGTAACACAGAAAATGATGACAACAGGGGCCTGAAGGTACCTAAAACTCTGAGGAGAAACTTCCTCTCCAAAATATTACCTCTGACCCTAAGAGGATGGCACGAATGTCTACTCAGTTCTCTCTCTCCCAGTCTTGCTACAGACATTGTTGCAAGAAGTGTTTGACAAAGTGGGGTGAGTAAAGTCCCAGATTTTTTGGCTAGATAACCAACAAGGGGAGTCCTAAGGAATGGACAGTACTGGGAAAATTGTAAAAGAGGGGGAGGTTCAGGAAAGTGATCTCATTAAGTAGTTTATGAACTCCGGGGATTATGCCCAAACTGCTCATGGATGAATCTGATCACAGACTTTGAGGACTTAAGTTCTATAGGGACATTACCCATGTCCCAAATGACCCCTGGTTGGTACACACAGGACAGACTCAAACATTGCTGCAAAGTCTTTAAACACTGAACTGTTTATGAAATTACAACCTACACACAGTTGGGTGGGGCTTAAAGCCTGGCTATACCTGGATAAGTTGCTTGCTAAAGCAAAAATATCAAATATCTCTATAGGACTTAAATAAGACCAACAGTCTCATAATAAAATACTCAAAATATCCAGCATTCAATCAAAAATGACCTGGCATGTGATAAGCTAGAAAAGTCTCAACCTGCGTGGAAAAAGAAACACTGAAAAGACACAGATGTTGGAATTGTCAAATAAAGACTTTAAGGCAGTTATAAAAAGTACTCTAAGAAATAATATGAACCGTCTTGTAAAGAATGAAAACATAGAAAGTCAGCAAGTAGAATGTTCAAACAAAAATCAATATTTTTAGAACTAAAAATATAATAATAACAGAAATTTAAAAAAATTCACTGGTTGAGCTTAATAGTAAAATGGAGATAAAAGAAGTATTAGATAATTTGATAGTAAATGGCTAGAAATTATTCAATCTGAAAAACAAAGAGTAAAAAGATTTTTTAGGGTCTTAGGATGTGTGGAACAAAGATAAAATAACATTCATGTCTTTGGAGTCTCAGACAGAAGACAGAAAATATGATATAGAAAAAATATTTCAAGAAAAAATGTCTAAAAGCTCACCAAATTTAGCAAAAGTCAAAAGCCAATAAATTAAAGAAATCCACTGAATTCCAAACAGATGAACTCAAAAATAATCTATGCCCAAGCCCACCAATTAAACTATGAAAAAACTAAATTTTAAAAAATTACTGAAAAGAGCCAGAGAAAATGATACATAACTATCATGGAACAATGACTTAAAAGACTATAGGTTTATCATCAGCAATCAGGTATTCTGTAAGGCAGTGGAACAGTTCTGAAGTGCTAAAATAATAATAAATACCCAGTCAACTCAACCCAGTGAAAATATCCTTCAGGAATGAAGATATAATAAATACATTCGTAATGAAGGAAAACTGATTTGAGTTCAGTGCCAACAGACCTATTCAAAGCAGTGCTAAAGGAAGACTGTCAAAAAGAAGATAAAATGGTATCAGAGGGTCAATTAAAATGTCAGGAATGAAAGAAAAACAGAAACAATGTGGTATGTATTACAACTACAAAATAAAGGATGGAGGGTGACAGGACCCAAGTCCTCCTGGAGTGGTAAAAATACTGATTCTAAGAAGACTGTGAAAAGTTAAGTTTGTACCTTCTCAGAGTTTGCACTCTAGTGACTGAGCTAAATGGGTGCTCCAAATTCTATGTATTTCAATCTATAAAGTTACCACAAAGAGATTCAGTCAAAAATAAGATAAATAAAGTGGAATACTAAAGCTACTCAAACGATCCAAAAGAAGGTAGAAAAGGATGAACAGAAGAATGAAAAATAGGGAACAAAAAGAAAACAAGTACTAAAATGGTAAAAAAAAAAAACCCAACAACCCTAAACATCTAAAATTACATTATATTTAAATGATCTAAACAAGCAACAAAGAGACTGTCAGACTAGATGGGAAAAAATCCAAGCTACATTTACATGCTAGCTACAGAAATTATTTCAAGTGTAATGCTATAGATAGGTTCAAAAGTAAAAAAAATGGAAAGTTATATCATGCAAATGCTAATGAAAAGAAAGTCGAAGTGATTAGTGTAAGACAAAGGAAATGACTAGGGATAAAGAAAAACTGTATGATAAGAGTCAATTTACTAAGAAAACATAGCAGTCTTAAATGTGTATGCATCTAACAAGAGCTTTTCAAACAGGTGAAGCAAAAATGGGCAGAAGTACAAATAAATCACTGCAAATGTCAATACTCCCCTCACATTAACAGCTGACAAACAAGTAGACAAAAAAATCAGCAAGGACAGCAAAAGAATTAGTCCACACTAACAACTAAATCCAACTGGCATTTTCAGGACACTCCACCCAGCAACAACAGAATTCACATTCTTTGCAAGTGCATACATTCAGAATCATAAAACGAAACAACAAACTGTAAAGAATGGCAGTAATACAAAGTATGTTTGTCTGACCATAATGGATTAAAACTACATGTCAACAGCAGAAGTATAATAAAATGTGTAGACATTTGGAAATTAACACACTTCTGAAGAATTCATGGATTAAACAGGAAAAAAATATTTGGAATACTCCTAAATCAGTGCTTAGAGGGATATCTGTGGCAGTAAAGGCTTATGTTATAAAAGTAGGCTTCAACAATTCTAAGCTGCTATATTTCAGAAATAGAAAAAAGAGGAGCAAAATAAACCTAGGAACAAGCAGAAGGAAATAACAAAGATCAGAAAAGTAGAGAAAATCCATAAAACAAAAAGCTTTTCTTTGAAAAGACCAATACAATGGGCACACCTTTAATAGGAATGAAAAGTAAAAAAAAGAGGCAAGACACAAAGTACTAAAAATTAAGAATGGAAAGGCAATCACCTTTCCGTTTTCAGAGGCA